TCGCATTCAGCTGTCAAATAATCATAATATATTTTCAGTTTTTGTACATGAGGGACGCCAGTTTACAGGCATCATCAACAGGATAAATAACATATACGAGGCGTGAGCATATTTACAATTATTCACTTACACAAGATATATATGAAAAAAGATAATGACATGATAACTATAAGGTCATTTACACAGACACGCCATGTTGCGAGACTACTTGGTTCAAGACGTATTTTATTTACCATATCGTTTAATTCATGACTGTAGCAGGAGTAAACGTCTTTGATGTCGTCAGCATATAGGAATGGTTTACCTGAGGGGAAGCAGTTACAAATGCTGTAAATGTAGACTGTAAATAAAAGTGGTCCTAGGGCACTACCTTGCACACCCCCACTTGTGATCTGCCTAGGATGACACAATACAGATCCGACTTTGGTTATTTGTACCCTGTTGCTTAGAAAGGATTTTAACCAGTTAAGTAAAGGATTGCGAATTCCACATGAGTGCAGCTTCTCAGAGAGAATACTGTGAGGTACCATGTCAGTGAGGTACCAAAGGAGCTTCTACTTAGGTCATGTGCTGACTTATTGGAGTATAGCGATAACACCGAAAGGCGGAAGTTCACCTAGACAGTGGAGTTGCAGACCACCCTTAAGAATTATGACTCTTAAAAGGTCAAGAGGTTTGTTGGGACTGTACAGTGAGTTTGCGGACCGCAACCCAGGGTCCTAATATTTTGTGGGGAAGCTACTGGCCGTACATTGTAAGTTGTGTTTGATTACAGAATAAAGCACGTCCCGAGATGACTGTGTTTGTGTTCTCAGATATCAGCAGCACTGTGACAAGGCCAGAGCTGAAAATATCCTGTGCATGGACGCTAAGGATTTCAAAATGTTCGGCTAAGAGAAAAAACCTTTGAAAAGCTAGGTAAGCGAAGTAGTTTCACTAATGTTTTCAGATATGAGCAACTCCTTTTCCTCGGGAACGAGTCGATTATTTGTCACTTCACCAGGGTCGTGGGTCTAATTTTGAGGAAATACGGCAGATTCCTTATCGTTGTCCTTCACAATGAGCAGTTGGTTAATAAGGTTGACGAAGTGCATTTCCAGATTAAAAAGGCTATCTGCCTAAATGTTGCTGGTGAAGACGTGCAAGTGGCAGCGGCAGAGTCGGCACAAAACAAACTTGTCGATCAACTTCCCAGTATCACTTTTGAAGAAGAACTGGCAGAACGTTCGATGTCTGTACATTAAAAGCACAACGTGGAAGCCTTACAGAATTTACTGAATGAAGTCTGAAAATAGGTCACCTTCCTGTTGTTTTTCAGAAACCGAGGCATGAATTCATGCCATTAATGACAATTATCTTGTGTCTATGGGACATATGACATATACCCCCAAGCCAACCTATCAAACCAAAAGCCCCCAAGGAAAGCACAAAGAAAATCGCCTTACCATATATAAAGGACATCTCAGAAATCACTACAAGACTCTTCAAACCTTTAGGAATTGACGTCGTACACAAACCAACAAAGTCACTCCACTCAATTCTATGTCAACCAAAAGACTCAACAGCGAAGGAAGATAAAACCAACATCATCTACAAAATAGATTGTATCAACTGCGACAAACACTACATTGGCCAAAGTGGACGTCCCCTTCGTCTTCGTATCCACGAACATAAGCTATCTGTCAAAAGACATGATATCCACTCCCTCATATCACTACATACAGACAACCACGGGCATCAATTCGACTGGGACAACGTTCAAATATTAGACAGAGGAAACAACAAGAATGCTAGAGAATTTTTAGAAGCTTGGCACTCCAGTGAATCATCAATCAATAGACACATCGAAATAGACAAAATTTATCAACCGATAAGAAAGAATAGTCACACACAAAGGGTCAAAGTTCAAGTCAAAGAAACAATGAGTGACAATACAAGTAACCTAGAAGGTGTGAAAACACACAAAAACAACCAATCACGTCCAAGGTCGCCAGGAGAGATGATTAATAAACTCGTGGAGAAATCTTAAAGCTCACTTCAAATTGAAGTATGCGCTGAAGATGTCACCCAGTAAGGTGATGAAAGCTTCGCAAATTAACTATCCAGCTCAGAGAACACAACCACATCAAAATCATCCACCTGAGCTACAAATCTTGATATAAGTATAAACTTGGCACTGTGGTAGAGTATAATTCCATAATGGATAAGAATTTATTTTGATAAATCACACAGTGTAGTACAGTTATATTAATGATGACTTTCGACACAAACTATTGCTCATAATCATATATGATATGATTATGAGCAATAGTTTGTGCTCGAAATGTCATCAGTTAATATAACTGTACTACACTGTGTGATTTATCAAAATAAATTCTTATCCATTATGGAAGCTACAAATCTTCTCTATCATATCCATAAAAGCATATGGTTGTAGGGTTAGTGAAATGTTACATGGTGCAAAATAGTAGCACACGGAGTTGTTTGAAAGGGTCCTCACGACAAGTGCCTGAAGTCATTGGTCTTTAGATATTACTTTCGCTTCGGTACAGGGAAATGGGATGGGAAGAGACGTAGTAGGAATACTGCTTAGCGCCAGAGTAATTCCGCTTATGAGTGATTATCCAAGATGGTGTCCTGGTAGATGTGAGAGATATTTCAAATGGCTCTCTAGACAGCTTAACACAAAGTCACTAATCCAAATATTGAAGTCAGCACGTGGCTTGCATCAAATACCGGTGCGCAGTGTATCCCTAGTAGGATCTTACCGTAACATATGGTTGTTGTGAGACTCCTAAGGCATTTCTTCCTTATGTGTAATCATTATCGACTATCTACCGCTCGGTTCATGTTGCGAAGTAAACAGTCGGAGTGCCATTGGGAGTCGTAGACTTTGTGTAAACTATCACCCAGTATGCTTAGACTTGTGGGTATTCGCAACGGTACATGCAGGACAAACAGCTGTCAACATACGCTATCTTAACAATACGATGACCATAATATCGATGAGGGGAGATCGGCACTCGGGCTGGCTATAGTGTAAGAGGTATTTCATCACTTGAATAAATCAGTAGACAATTCCTTGAATGATGTACATCGTGAGGTATTTGTGTGAGAAATACGCTTAACTGAAGGAAACTGTGGAACAGATCACTTTCTCCAGACATGCTTCGAGTCATACATGCTTAATGGTATTTATGGGACTACACATCTTTGAATGTTACCAGACCAGTTACTCATGTCGTATGATCAAAGGATGTAGAGAATCAAATCACAGCGGAACTTAATGTGGGGATTTTGTCATCTGCTGGCTTCTTATTTTTGAGTGAGAATGCTGAAAATATTTAGCTGGTTGGAGGAATGCCAAGTTGTATACTCTGCGTAAATATTTGTGCATAAATCCTGGCGGATCATAACGATTTTCGCAATAGTAGAATCAATACCGGAGGTTTTAATCTAGATGCAAATTTCTTAAAATGACGTTATACTGTATAGAAAACTGAATCCTCGAAAATTTTCATAAAAGGGCGATCGTCCATACTGCTTCACTCCATGAAACTGCACATAGTGGTGAGATAAAATATAATAAGGAATTTACAATTGGTTACTATATGAAGCGTAATGTGACTTTTGGATGTAAGTGCTTTCTCCCTATTGAGAACGATTCTGGGTCATGTTATCAACAGTCTCCATTATTAGTTCTTAGAGTCTCAAACACACCAGCTAGGCGTTCTGCAGCTCAAATCAACAGTCAATGATGTAATAGATTGATGCTCGGTTTGGATTTGACAACTCTCGACTATTTCTCACCTTATCTCATGTCAGTTAGCATTTCTAGATAAGGATGACTATGGTTCCGCATGTAAAACACGTGTCCTAGCCGTCTCACAACCTCGTCAACTGACTTTCCTTATTTACCTAACTGTGGAAGGAGCAGAAATTTTCTGACAACCCTCTCCAATCATAGTCTCTAGCTATATGTGGTCTATCGTTGACTTATTGCTGGAGGTTGTCGAGTGGAGACAATGTCTCTTATGTTTGAACTTAGTCCTGACGAGGAACAGATGATTATCTGAACACAACTATCACTTATGCCAGTTCGTCGGCATAGTACTCCATAAGCGTCATACTTTCCTGACTAGCACGGCTTTCCTACTTGAGCATTGAGATCAGATAAAATTACTATTTTAGTGCTTTGGCAGCAAACTACACAGCTGCTAAAAATACCCACCCCTTACTTATTCGGAAATGCATTTGGTTGTGGTGTTAGCGAGGATTATTAAAATTCAGACTTGAAAATAAGTACCTGGGGTCCGTGGTGTTATACATTTAACTATGCAGGTTTATGAAAGTGATCACTGGTTGATATTACTCCACTAAAAGTTGAAGATCCGTGAAGTGGCGATTTCGTGACATTATAGTGTTTAAAAGCATATGCTCATGGCCTTAAACCAGATGGAGTCGATAATGCGTTTACGAATAACAGTTACCAAATCCTAATTTGCATATCCATATAATTAATTATTCTAGGGGGAACAGCGAAAACTACCAGGTTTTTATTTATATTATTTTCTCACTTTCTAAAGTGAAGTGAATTTTGTGGTGTACTCCCTAGATCAGAAATAAAGTATATTCAAGCGTCTAAGCTTATACAAAACTACATGTCTCCAGTTTTGTAGAGGCTTCGTACAAATAACTAATATGTAAATACTTACATAACTCCATGGATCTGCATAGTTTCACTCCAACGCTAATTGCAACCGGCTGCGACATTACAGTTATGTATGTGATTTCCCTATTATCACTTTTATTGCATCTAAGAGGAAAAATCATAGTAGCGTATGCAAAGAAGACTAGATACGTTTTATGAATTTTATTTGCACGTGAAAATGAAAGTTGCAAAAATATTAAAAACCAGTTTGTTGTTCAGTCATTTTTCTGGTTTCAGATGTAAAAGCTTGTATAGAGAGTTCATTTCTTCATGTATTTTTTTGTCTAACACAGGTAGTTCAGCTGGTCCGGTATTTAGAGCCTTAGAGATTTGTTGGCTAACTGCTGATGCTTTCATGAAAAAATCAGATGTGCAACTGACGTGAACCTAGTGAGCGTTGTAAAAGAAGAAATAAGTGAATGTGATGAAATTTATGCAAACCCTAGTGCTGAAACAAAATTTCCGATGCTATATTACGTGATTTATATGATATAAATATAGTAGATATAAGGAGTTGAGTGCTGTTTTTTGCGCTAAATCGTAGGCCATACTAATCATGTACTGAAGTAATTTGGAAATCAGTTAAGCCGAACATGTTTTGTATGCACTCACTGGATGGTGATACTGCTTACTCCTACAGGTTGAAACAGATAGAGCCCACTGACTGCGATCCAAGTGCTAAGGCCAACAGAGAGGTGGTATAGGGCATAAGTGTTAATGATGTAAACTGACTTTTCAACGCAGAACTTTGAACAGAAGTGAAGCAGTTAGTGTGGTTCGTACAATGAAATATGGGTATTGCTTGACGTATCGATTTCTTGTAGGCGAAGTGGAATTACTCAACACGGTCATTAGGTTAATATATGTGTAAAACTTGGGCTCTGTGGTAGTAAGTAATTCCATATTAGTTTGTTTATTAGGTATATCACACAGTGAAACACAGTAAAAAATACTGTTTCACTGTGTGATATACCTAATAAACAAACTAATATGGAATTACGGTCATTAGGTGTATTTTAATTCGACTGCAATGTCTAACAGAGAAAACAACATAATTCCGTAAGTCGGATAGGAAGTTACATGCTTAAATTTGTGAAAATGACGTATTCATTGTCACGGTATAAACATATGTTATCCAAAACGCAATTTATGCACTTGTTATAGTGGTACAATATTTTAAGTTTCCTGAGATCTTGTTGTGTATGACAACGAAGTGTTGAAGAAATGCTTCGCTCACATAATGCATTCTTAAAGTTATTTTTTGCAACCGAAATTTTATTTATTCAGCATTTATCTCGATGACTAATTCTTCGAGTCATACACAACCCCACTTATCGAGTACAGAAAATAGTCACTTAAGCGTATTATACCTTTACAAAGTAGAAATTAATCACATATAGGTAGTGGAGGAGACAATCATAGCCTAACAACATTATTTCAGGCTTGAAGATGGTGGATGCATCTTGCTGATCAGCAGAAAACATGTATAACGTGTGAAGTTCAATTCCTCATTCTTTAGGTTTGTGATAATTATTCAGGAGACATGAGGCATTTTTTGCATTAATAATTCCGTCATCATCGAAGAGTGGTATTGCGCTCAGAAATGTTATTTTGTGGTTAACAAACAAAACCAAGACTATAACTTTACGGAATGTTGCAGGCCTGTTAGCAGATAGCACTAGACATTTACATATAAAACATCAAAAAATTAAGAATAACTAGGAGAAATGGGAGATATTTTGGAAACACGAAACAAACTCGCTTCTGTGTATGTAACTCACTTTGTATCATCCTACGGAAACAGTCGATGAAAATGTTTAAAGCAGCAATCACAGATCTGTTCTATCTGCGAAACAGTTTGTTAAAAATAATTATACTACATGTCTTAGTTTACGGGTGAAAATTATGTGACTTCTGAAAGTTATTTGGTGTTCTTCGAAATGCGAAATTAGTGCTGAAGATGTCATTATGTCTGGTGATGCATTCACAATCACTTATGAGAGCCTGAAGAACACCAAACAACTGTCATCCTCATCATGAGCCACAAATCCCCGTAAGAGATAACAACGCTTACATGGAACGAAGACGACAGAAACACTTCTAATATTGAGGTTAAATCCATTAAATTCGCGCTTATTGCAGTTTCAATAACCTGCAAACGACTTGTTAGTGAGTCAACTGTTTGTGAAATCTGAAAACATTAGAAGAAAAATTAGGCGTTACCTTTCTGTATTTCGTCGACATTTCCCCTATGTGTTCTATGGGTTCGAACTTCCGGATTTTCCGATATTTCCGATTTATTTCTTTTAAAATATCTTCCCTTTCCTGGAAAATGTCATTTATAGGTGACAGTATAGAGCAAATTCTTGGAAACGTTACACTTGAGAAACGAGTACTTACTTTCTCAAAGGCTCAAGTAGCAACTGTTGATTAGTGTTCTTCTACATTGCGAATAAAAGTTTAAACACACAAATACGTACATTACATTCGTGTGTATTGCCTAGTGAAAGCATCAATTCATTTGTTGAGGATATGCTTTTGCTATCAGTATTACAATTTTGAAGTATTTGGGAAGCTCTCAAAACATCCTCTTCTTCTTTTTTGAATTCTACACAATGTATACAAGTTTAATAGCACTACACAAACATAACTGTACTCACCATCCAACATTTTGAGCCAATCATTAAGTACAAGAACCAACTTTCTCAGCAGATCTTGAAGTCTTAAGTAAACAAGTATAACATAATCGAATCTAACCTACATATCACAATTGGGCATACTTTACTAAAGGGCGACTTACTGAAGAAGGAAACAAAGAGGAGTGACATCTTTTATGGAGAAATGATAAGGTGAAATATCAAAAATTTCCGTACTATTTAGCCGACTATTTTGTATTCAACAAATAGTGAAATATGTAGCAAGCATACCACAAGTAGACTATGAATTTCATTCAGTGTTTGGTATATCCTATAATTATTTCAATGCACAAAACATGGCAAAGAGAAACCGTACAAGAAAGAATGAGCCAATTAAATTCATATGCTGTCCCCCAGAAAGATTTCAGTAAAGTGAAAAGCGACAGAAAACTCCATTTATTATAAAATCAATAACGAGTATATAATGAACACATACTAGGTAAACAATGAGATATCATTTAGGTGCGAAATCCTTGGTAAGGTAAAGTAAGGTAAAAGCCCATCATGACTGACCTGGTTAGTAGTTGAGTATTCTCACTAGTGAGCACAGATAGAAGGAAAATACTCCAAAAGTATGAGGAAATATAGTAGAAATAAAATCTAGGAATATCTTCTGACAGGAAAGAAGACATTCACTCAAGTGAATCAACATACTACATAGATGCTCGTAGTATGTATCATTCTAAACAACATCAAAAGTAATGCTTTGCGTCGATGTAAAGCTTTGGGACGAAACGCAGAATCAGCAAACAGTCTCAAGACCAGTAGTCAGCATTAAGTTAGATCTGAGGTGCGTCACAGTATTTGCTGATGAGATACTGCTGAAAACGTGGTAACTAAATTGACAGTCAATCTGGTCTATCGCTGTAAATTGATGCTATCTTTAACTACATTCTTCTACACACATAACCAATACTCCGTTATGACTACTACACTGCTTACTGATATAAGTATAAAACTTGGGCACTGTGGTAGAGTATAACTCCACTATAGATAAGATTTTAGCAACTCTAAACAATAGGAACCCAGACCGAAACGACCTACGAACGCACAAATGACCTTGTCAAGGATCAAGCAGAAGGCTCAAAAAAACGACAATAGTCGTCCCAGGCAGCACAGTTATACATTAATATTAACTGATATTACTGAGTAACACTGTGATTTATCAAAACAAAATCTTATCTATAATGGAGTTACACTTCTTACTCCCACATCGAAATTTTTTAGCTTAGATCCATAGGAATTACAGTTCCTCTAGACAAATGTAGATCCTGTATAGAAGTCTGGATATTTGAAAACACAACTGAATGTGACGCTGTAAATGCTGATATTAAACGATCGTTTAAGTTTTACTTAGCAGTACAAACTGGGCCTGATGATACTGGGACAATGAGACTACATCGTTACAAAAATCTCGATCGGTATAGTAAGTGCCAAAAGCAGTCTGAATTCCATGGAAAGGGTGATAATACTGATGGATAAGAATCAGAGACAGACAGCAGCATACCAAAAGTTCATGATGTGACTAATCAATTCTAAACTTTTCACTATTAATCTAGTTCGTTTGACGTGAATTACTTCACGTCAATATTAAATAACAATGTCAGGGTAAAAACAAATATAGTCCGAAATACAGTCCTATAATTACGTCTTGTTTAGACTTCACAAGACACATACAAACGGATTGAATTTCTCGCCTATAATTAATTATAGTGTCGGACAAACTTGTCCGATACTGGATAACTTCAAAATGTTCCATGGAGCCACATGACAAGAGCAATAAAGTTTAACAATTCAAAACGAAATCAGAGTGAAAAGGGCAATGGATAACGGCACACACGGCTTATGGAGAGGCTAAGCACTTCAAGGTCACCTATGCATATTGTTATTGGTAGATTTTCCTTTTCGTAAACGTTGCGTTTAATACGTAGTACACGTTACAGAGGCGCGCGGCAACAGTAAGGAATCGACACCAACCTCACACGACCTTGAATTAGCCAATCACATTATTCTAGGTGAAAAGTGGTACTTAATTTATATAGAAGTGTATTTACGATATACATGTAATAAAAATGAATCATATAAGGGCCAAGTTAAACTTTAGACACCAGTAACTACCAATCAGCGAACGACGCCGAATTATCCAATGAGATTCACGAACGTAGTTCAATATTGTATAGCGCTTGATTCATTTCAATGCGTGCCCTTACAAGGTCAGGTTTGCAATTCCAGGAGGATAGTGTCTTTCAGTATTGCCTGGTTTTAGGCTTGCTTCGAAAGGAGAGAAGTTGTTCGTGTGGTGGTGTAATGACACTAAAAAGCTATACTAGCTCAACTGATGGTTTTGTACATCACTGTGGAATATGCTGAAAGCCAGTTAGTATTAGAGAGGGTAATATTTCGTAGGAACTTTTTGCTAGGTCTCATCTCTCCCTAAACCAGATTTTGTACTTTTGCAATTACTGGGTACTGAAACAGCTTGTGAGAGCCACTGCTGCCGAGACGGAGAACAGCCTTGTCTCAACAGTTCAGTGGTACCAGCACTGCAGAGACATCGCCTCATGGAAAATGGACAGAATTACTTCGTTGTTAGGCGGGGACGACGTAGTAGTCCATGTGTATGAGACAGTGTTGGTGAAGAAGAAATATAACCGCGGTCGTCAGAGAGCGAACAACATTTGTGTCATAGGTTTATACGACACGTCCCTCCGATAAGGATTCGTTGAGAGAATAGCAGACAGGAAGGCGAATACTCTGGTACCTATTATAAAGCAACTCGTGAAACCGGGATCAATTGTACATACCGACGAGTGGAAAGGCTATGATTCATTGTCATCCCTGGGATACATTCACCACAGAGTGAACCACTCCAGTGATTTTGTGGACCCAGTTACGGGGACTCATAGAAATTCCATTGAAGGATTTTGGGGTCGATTGAGAAATAGAGTAAGGGCTATAAATGGACCTCAAAAGGATCTCATTTATAGTCATTTAGATGAACATATGTATAGAATGTGGTGCGACTTCTCTATTGACAGTGCCATGCTGAATTGGGAAATGTTTCTCTCCCATGTTCGGGAAACATACCCATTGTAACCGTTCTATCATTTTTTTGTGCATTCTATAAATATACGTTTCCGCTTATCATAAACGTCTCTTACATGTGATTGGTCCGTTCAAAGTCGTTTGCTGATTGGTTGTTATTGGCGTCGAGGGTTTAACTTTGCTCATATAAGGTATATATCTCCAATATGCTGCAAAAACTGGTCCCAGGTTCTCATAGAAGTGGTGGCGCAGCAGTTAGGACTCTCACCGACCATGCACATTGTCCGGCGTCCAATCCCCTGCCGGTGCACACCTGATATCAATGGTCGGTCTGAGAAATCGGGCTACTGATATCAGATACTGAAAATTCCAGTAAGGAATCAAGTTATAATCAATATATTTTTAAAATTTTTTCATTTTTATGTTTATTTTGATAACAGCTTGATGCCACATCGTATTTTCAGTACAAGTATGGAATTTTCAGCATGGATATCGGTAGCCCAAATTTTGCAGGCCGGGTGTGCGTCGGAGTAGACCGAACCTCGGACCATGTGCATGGTCGGCGAGAGTCCTAACCACTGTGCCAACAACACATATATATATAGACAAACCAAACAAATATATTCTCTATTTCTCCAGCTGTAGCCGATACTGGCTGCATACACGCAGTATATAACTAAGGGAGACCTTTGATTCCGAGAAGAAAGTGTTTGAAAAGTCACCAATTATGTATGACTTACCAACCTACACGGACTTCCTCATATAAAGTGGTTGCATCTGAATATATGACCATCACTAGCCTGGCAATACTTTTTCAGAGTCATTATCCCTCCACACATATGCATGTTTTATTCCTCCCTGTCAACCCATTTTCCACAGATAAATCAAAAACCAAATCTAGGAGACATTTTCAATGAGGATTATGACTAACGGCTATTTGTAATGCTGAGCTATCTGACTGGTCAAATCAAGGGTATTTGACTTCGATGTCTAATGCTTACTCTTGCCAGGCGGGCTTTGATAAGATAATGATATAAATCATAAAAACATTACATTTTCCGGCTTAAGGGGAAGTTCAACAATAGCGTCCCAGGAGTGTAGACGCTCCAATGACTTTGAAAGCATGCTAGTCGTTGGTTCCTGGGACGCTATTATTGAACTGAATGAAATTATCCCGCATGCTCAAGGTCATTGGAAGAGTTAGGCACTCGAAGTTCACTTTCGTCCATTCTGGTCGGCCATGTTGGATTGCAGTTCCGTAGCCTTTCGCTTACACATTGGCTTTTACTTTTATCCGGCAGTTTTTCACAACTTATCTTGATGCCCATTGTTCACAAATGCTGCGTTGCACCTCATTTGCGTTTCCGTTCCTGCTAAAATTAGTTATTTCGTTGGTTTCGAAAGTGCATTCATTCGACTGTAATAGTACCGTACACTGCTCTCATGCGGCTTTCAGTGTTTTAGTTGTTTTTCAGCTATTAATGAATCTGTACTGTATAGAAGTTTCGGAAATTTTGCACATGGACATGTTTGGTTGGCGGAAGCTGCTGTTTCCAGTTCATTTGTTGGTTGCCAGTTTTGTTGCTGGCTCATTTGGTTACTTAACATATAGGAATCTGAAAAACTGATGTCTTTCACGTCCATGTTTATAGCATGCAACATTCTACGATTGGATGTGGTGAGGAGAGCATGATCAGAGTTGATATTAGCAAGATTTTCAGCGATCATATCAAACCTTGAGAATTTAGAACCTGGGTTGAAGTTGAAAAAGCTTTGAAGCTTTTCGAGAAGGTTACTATACCATCAGTATGGCTGTTATCAGTTAAAAAATCACATACATATTGTAAGGGAATCTAAATCAAACAAGGTTGAGCCACATGAAAGTGTGAATCTGTTGTGCTTGTATGTATTTTCGGGAGCGAAAAGAAACAGGAAAGCAATCAGAAACCCGTAAAGAGTAAGTGTTACGTATGCTCATTAATACCTAATGCACTAGATCCGGAATACATGAACTAGGACTGCCTGCAGTCCTAACAG